CCCCCCCCCCCCCAGGTTAAAGTATAGGTTTTGTGGAGAAAGAATTTAAACTGGAGAACCCAAGGGAGTACAGTGGAAATAATTTTGCTTATTGGTCTTCCTGTGGTACAAAACTTAATTGATTGGTCTTCCTGTGTATGGAAGCGCATGAGGTTTTTAAAAGTCAATTCCCAGTCAATTTTACGTACGTTGCCATCTTTGATATTTACTTGAGCCCACGATATATTTGTCAGCACAAGTCAATACCACAGGAAGACCAATCAACAAATTTGTTTCTGCCATGCTCCCTTAGAGAACCCAGAGAAAAATCCCTGAATCAAGGAAGAGACCTCTGCTAGTTCATGTGATTCAGAGTCCAGGAATCAAACCCCAGGCCCTTGAGGTGAGGGGAAAGTAAACTACATGTTTGCTACAAGAGCTCCCCAGAGCCACCAATGTTTTTTTTTCTTGTACAATAATATACAATCTTTTCTTTATTCTTTTAAAATAATTAGGAATTTGAATATCATGTCAGTCGCTTCCATAAGATGTTCAGGCATCCTCAAGATATGCAGTTCCATGTTGTTGTAGGCAACCATGATATCGGCTTTCATGATGTGTAAGTTGATACTTATACTGTATGATTATCATGTAACATTTGGCAGATTATTCCCTTATGATTAGCCATTCAGAGGTTGAGGAAAAGACTGGGTTGGGTTAGCATTGCAGTGCATTTTGGGACTGTTTTTGAGGACATATTTCTAAAGGCTGGTTTAGACGGTACAATTTTCGCCTATGACTATCATATACAACACACTCGCATCTGTCGTAGGACCTACTGGAGTTGTAGGATGGCACGATAGTTGTAGGCGAAAATCGTACTGTCTAAACCGGCCTTAAGATTACATCTATTTTGAATTCATGGTATTTCTTTTTGCAGTGCTTCTGTAAAGAAAGCCCATTTTGAAAGATTTTCAAAGGCCTTTAATGTCCCTCCTGCAGAGTTACTTCAGATTAAAGGAAACGTGTAAGTCAGATTTAATGTTACATTTATGATAACTCTGGAATTGCTTTTAATAGCTCATTTGATTCAACTTTGAGGGCCACTTTCCATAAACACAATTATAGTTTATAATACAGGGAAGGATAACAAGCTAGTATATTTATGCAAAGTACCCCTCAAAGTTGAATCAAATAAGCCAAATCCAAATGCTTTTTTGGTGGTAAGAATCCTGTGTATAAGATAATAGCTTTGTCTCATTCCCAGGTTTGTGGTAGTAAACTCTATAGGACTTGAGGGTGACAACTGTTATATGTGTAGTAATGTTGTGAGTCAGATGAAACAAATAGCAAGGAAAATTAACTGTTATGAGGAAAGAGGAAATACAAGAAGAAATATTATAAAAGAACTAGAAAAAACACAAGAATGTGAAGTTCCATACGATGCACCCTCACCTATACTCATTCAGGTTGGTGTTAACAGAATTTTTGCTTGGTTAGGAAATGCTCTTGCAGTGCCTATAAACAGTAACTATTGAGGGAATAAAAAACCCACGTGCATGCTGTGTGCAGTTATAAAGCACCCAGGGATAGGTAGAACGCAAGAGAAGTGTTAGGAGAAGCACGACGCATAGTGCTTCTTGACACTCTTGAGTGTTCTGCTAATCCCCAAGTGCTTTATAACTACACACAGCACAGCAAAGCAAATTTTTTATTTCTTTTATAAAATGCAAAGGGTGTGTGCGTGCTGTGTGCTCTCATAAAACACACGCTCCCAACCAATCAGAATGCAAAATTTATAATGGTTATTTTATCATTAATAATTATTATTCATAGATAATCACTGAGCCCAAGGCAGATAATTGTTTTAGTATCATTACTTGCGCAATCCTATGTTCACCTGTAGGTGATTATTGAGAAATGACATCTGTGATTATTGAGAAATGACATCTGCAAATGTCCTCCATTTTGAATCAGCACCATAATAGTTGTCAATAATCATCAATAATTCTGATGATAATAAATATTTATTATTATTATAATTATTATCATCAGCACTATCCTCTATATCGCGAAGACGAAAAAAAGTGTACTGGTGTAGATGCACCTCCACCAGACCAACAAAGCAAAGTGAACCGGCCAAAATGGGAGGTAGTATCACAGGAGGCGACAGCTCTCCTGTTAGAGTCATTTAGACCACGCCTTGTTCTTAGTGGCCACACCCATCATGGTTGTTATTTGATCCACGATGATGGGACACCAGAGCTGACCATACCATCATTTAGTTGGAGGAATAGAAATAACCCAAGTTTTGTGATGGTGAGTCTGTTGACTTTCATATGATTATTTTATTGATGCCAACACATATTGTTGAATCTCCAGTGTAGGCGTGTAATGATGATGAGAGGTGATGATGCTGATGTTGTTGGTGGAGGTGATGATGGTAATGACGATGGTTGTAATGATGAGAAAAGAGGTAATAGCGATGTTGTTGGTTGTGGTGATGAGGAGAGGTGATGTTGTTGGTGGAAGTAATGATGGTAATAATGATGGTTGTAATGATGAAAAAAGAGGTAATAGCGATGTTGTTGGTTGTGGTGATGAGGAGAGACGATGTTGTTGGTGGAAGTAATGATGGTAATAATGATGGTTGTAATGATG